TGCAGCAAATTCCAGCCAGGACAGAACTTTGCTAACCTGCCAGAGCCAGGAGAAGCTGAATTCCAGGACCTGGAGTTCTTCCCAAATTCCCAGCTCACGTGCACCCAATTATAGCCCTTGTTGGGCAATTAAAATTATACAAGCAGCTGCCTATCAAAGCTGAAGCAATTAATTAGAATGAAATACTTTTAGGGGAAATAAGCCTTGCCTTATTCCCAAATTCCTGTAGGAGCAGGTGTGTGGGAACTGGGATGGTGCAGCTTGTCCTGGTGTGCTGTTGCCTAGACAAGGCCTTGGGGTGGCAGCTCTGGCAATATTTTATTCCCAAAAAAAGCTGATTTTAGGATTTACCTGCTCCAGACATGCACAGTTTTCAGTGCTCTCCCTCCAGGCTCGAGGCAGCCCCAGCCTCACAAGGACAGGAAGAATTTCCTGCCCCACTGCCAGGGTTTCCAGCCCCGTTTTTCCCTTGATGGCTTTGAGAGAGCAAACAGCTCCCAAAATCCCTCTGCCTCCTTTCCCTGGCAAGGCAGCATTCCCAGCCACCCCCACCGTGCTCATTTAGCACCTTCCTCCTCCTCCTCCTCCTTTCTCACCTGTGTGGGGGCACCTGCAGGGCTGTTCCCTCCTTCTCCAGAGATTTTCTCATTTTTCCCATCAATATTTTGCCCCTCATTCCCGTTTCTGTGCCATATTTGGGGCCATCGCTGCCTCCCAGCCCCAGGTTGTCCCTTCCCACACCTGCAGCCCCCCTGGCACTGCCCGGTCACCTGTGACCCCCTGTCCTACCTCGAGCCCCACTTTTCCCATCCCTACAGCATCCGTAGGGATCCAGGGGTGTCATCAGCTCCCTGAATCCCAGCCCAGGGATGCTCCCAGCCCATCCCACCCCGCTGGACCACTGTGGTCCTGCTCGGGGCTGGGAGGAGAACTGGGTCAGCCGTGTAACCATGGAGATGCTGAGGGAGATGCTGAAGCAGCGCCAGCACAGCTCCGGCTCTCCAGAACCCTGGAAAGCTTCACCCGCCCTGGCACCCTCCGGATCCGGCCGGGATGGGGCTGGGAAGCTGAGCCGAGCCTCCTCCTCCTCTTCCTCCTCCCCGGCGCAGGGCCGGTAAGACGCCTCCATCTCTTATTTTATTTTAATATTTTTTGGGGTGCCACCAGCGGGGAAGGGCAGAGCTCGGCCCCCGCCATCCACACGCAACAGGGATCCCGATTTTCCTGCCGCTTGCGCTCATCCACCGGGGATGCTCCAGCCATGACACGGCTGCCGGTGCATCCCTCGGGCTCCGTGCGTCCCTCGGGCTCGCCGGGGAGCTCCCGGGGGCTGCCGGTGCTCGGTGTTTCCCGCAAGGAGGGAGCGTGGTGGCGGTGAGCGCTGCGGGGGCTGCGGCGCTGCCCCGGGAGCTCGGGACGCGGTTCCCGTGGCGGGGATGGATGCGGCGTCACGGCGGATGGCTCCGAGCATCGCTGGCTCGGGATCCGGGGATGAACACACGGAGGGGAACGGGAAATGGGTGTTTGAGGGGAAAGATCTGCGGCTCCCTGACTCCCCCCGCGCTGCCGGGAAGGGGCAGGGGCAGAGCGGGGCTGGGGGTTCAGCAGCGGGGCTGAGGGGGCTGTGGTGGCATCGAGGGTGGTGTGGTGACATCAGGGGTGCCGTGGCCATGCCAGAGATGCTGTGGCCATGCTGAAGGCGCTGTGGTGACACCAGGGATGCTGTGATTGTACCAAGGATGCTGTGACTGTGTTGAGGGTGCTGTGGTGGCATCGGGGGTGCCGTGGCCATGCTGAGGATGCTGTGGTGGTGCTGAGGATGCTGTGGTGGTACCAAGGATGCTGTGACCATACTGAGGATGCTGTGGCCATGCCGAGGATGCTGTGGCCGTGCCAAGGATGCTGTGGCCATGCTGAGGGCACTGTGGTGGTGCTGAGGGTGCTGTGGTGATGCTGAGGATGCCATGGCCATACCGAGGGTGCTGTGGTGGCACCAAAGATGCTGCGGCTGTGCCAAGGATTTTGTGGTGGCATCAGTGATGCTGTGACCATGCTGAGGGCATTGTGGTGGTGCTGAGGGCACTGTGGCCGTACTGAGGATGCTGTGGTGACACTGAGGATGCTGTGACCATACTGAGGTTGCTGTGGCCATGCTGAGGGCACTGTGGTGGTGCTCAGGATGCTGTGGCCATGCCAAGGATGTTGTGGTGGTGCTGAGGATTCTGTGGCCATACTGAGGATTCTGTGGCCATGCCAAGGATGCTGTGGTGATACTGAGGGCACTGTGGCCGTGCTGAGGGCACTGTGGTGATACTGAGGATGCTGTGGTGATTCTGAGGATGTTGTGGCCATGCCAAGGATGCTGTGGCCATACTGAGGATGCTGTGGCCATGCTGAGGATGCTGTGGCCATGCCAAGGATGCTGTGGCCATGCTGAGGGCACTGTGGTAGTGCTGGGGATGCTGTGGCCGTGCCAAGGATGCTGTGGTGATACTGAGGATGCTGTGGCCGTGCCAAGGATGCTGTGGCCGTGCCAAGGCCGGCTCAGCCGTGACAGCCGCACTCTCCAGCACTCAAACCCAGTCTCCAGCCCAGCTCAGCATCAGGCACCCCTGAACCCCCCACCCAGCACCCACTCTGGGCAGAAACAGATTGTGCAGGGAGATACGGGGTAAAACCACGGGCAGGGGGAAGCAAATCCTCCCTTCGGGCTGAGGAGCCGCTCGGCTTCCTTTGCAGTGGATTATCCCTGTGTGTGTTGCGTTGGAAATGATCCCATTAGCGCTCTGCTCTCCTGATCTAATTTGCTCCCAACAGAGCCTGGTGCTCTCTGGGCGGCTGGAGCAGCAACAGGAGCCCTGTGTGCTCTCCTGGCCCTGCAGGGCTGGGTTCTCACAGGGATTTCTCACCTGGAGCGTGGAGGGGCCTGGGCTGGGCCTGGCTGAGCCCTGGTGCAGAGGGATCTGTGTTTGTTCAGGCACAGCCTAAGCCGGGGTTGCTGGTGGGGAAACTGAGGCACGGGGAGGTGTTTGGGATGCATTCCCTGTGTCGAGTGCATCCTAAGGGAAAACTCAGGGGTTGCAGCAGGTTTGGAGCCTGAGAGCTGCGGGTGGCATTGGGAAGTGTCACCCTAAAGGTCCCCAAGGCAGCAGATCAGCCCTGACCCCTCCTTGAGGAGGTGCTGGGCATCAACACAGGGCTGTGATGGGGCAGATTCAGAGCTGGGAATGTCAGTGGCTCCATCCCTCTGGAGCTGGGATACATCGCACAACAACAGCTTTATCCAAGGGCTCCATCCCTCTGAAGCTGGGATACATCCCACAATAACAGCTTTATCCTTGGGATCCATCTTTCTGAACTGGGATACATCCCACACCGATGGCTTTATCTCAGGGTTCCATCCCTCTGGAGCTGGGGGTCAGTGCTGAGCCCCTCCCTGGACACCAGGCCGTGGGTCAATGCCTGGCCAGAGCCAGGAGGGAAAACCCCAGCCATTAATTAATGATATTAATGACCAATCGCCCACTCAGCCCTGCCATTGATAAATCCACAAGTTCAGCGGTGCTGGAGCTGATCCCACAGCTCCTGCCAGGCCTCATCCATGATTCCCATCAGGTCTCATCCCAGCTGAGCCCCCACCCTGCCCCACTCCCCATCCCTCTCTCCTGAAAGGGAAACATTTTTCCAGGCGCTGCCTCCATCCATTATCACAAAGTGGCTTCTCTTGGCCTGCAGTTAATAATTCACCTTTCCCTGGAAGATGGATGCTCCATCCTGCTGGAGTTTTAAATATTCATGGCCAAGGGAAGGCAGCGGGGCCGTGTGGGAGCTCTGCCATCCACCCCTGGTGCTCCCATCCAGGGATTCCCATCCCATCACCTGCAGGTGTGCAGATGTGGAATGTTTGGAGAAGGGGATGTGCAGGGAAAACTTGGCTGGATGGGATTTTGGGTGTCCTCAGGGACGGATGGGGCTGTACCCAAGGGACCCCTCACCCCTGGCTGGGCAGGCTGGTGGCACTCAGAGCCTTCTGCCCATCCAGGTGTCTCCTGGATGTTGGGAGTGTCTGGGTCCTGCAGGGAGCTGAGGCAGGGCTGGATGTTCATCCCAGGGTTCCTCACCCCTTCCTGCTGCTCCTACGGGTGGGGGAAAAATCTTGGAATATACTGAGATGAAAGGAATCTACAAGAATAATTCAGTCCAATCCCTGGCCCTGCACAGCCACCCCAAAATCCCATCCCTGGGCATCCCTGGAGCTCTGGCAGCCTCAGGAATGCTCCTGAGGGAGCCTGAGAAATTCCCTTCCTTCTGCTCCCATGAATGGGGGAAAAATCTTGGAATACACTGAGATTAAAGGAACCCACAAGGATCACCCAGTCCAACCCCTGATTCTGCACAGACACCCCAAAATCCCTTCCCTGGGAGTGGTGTTCAAGCAATCCTAGAGCTCTGGCAGCCTCGGGAATGCTCCTGAGGGAGCATGGGGAGTTCCCTTTGTTCTGCTTCCATGGGTGGGGGGAAAATCTTGAAATATGTTGAGATTAAAGAAACCCCCAAAGATCATCCAATCCAACACAGATTGTGTCCTGCACAGACACCCCAAAATCCCAACCCTGGGCATCCCTGGAGCTCTGGCAGCCTTGGGAATGCTCCTGAGGGAGCCTTGGGAGTTCCTTCCTGCTGCTCCCATGGGTGGGGGAAAAATCTTGGAATACACTGAGATTAAAGGAACCCACAAGGATCACCCAGTCCCACACCTGGCCCTGCACAGACACCCCAAAACCCACCCTGGGCATCCCTGGGAGCGGTGTCCAAACACTCCTGGAGCTCGGGCAGCCTCGAGAATGCTCCTGAGCGAGCCTGGAGAGTTCCCAGTGGGAAAAACCCTTCCCTAATTTCCACCCCTCAGTGGGTCATGCCCACCTGAATTTCCTGGATTTTTTAACCCTTCCGTGGCACCGATGCCACAACCCCTGAACGTCCCCAACTTGTCCCCTCAGCTGATCCCGGGCAGCAGAGCCGGTGCCGGTGCCGGCGGGCGCGCTGACCATGTTCAACGGGGATGCCAGCTCCTCGTCTGCCCGGAATGTGGTGCGCAGCTCCAGCATCAGCGGCGAGATGTACAGCCTGGAGAAGAGCGCGCGCGGCAGCGCCGACTCCGTCTCCGTCACCGTCACCGCCAGCAAGAAGCGGCGCTCCAGCCTGGGCGCCAAGATGGTGGCCATCGTGGGGCTGTCCCAGTGGAGCAAGAGCACCCTGCAGCTCAACCAGACCGGTGAGAGGCCGCCCTGATCCCGTTCTTGGGGTTTGAGGTGGCCACCAGGCATGGTTTCGTTGCCCGCATGTCATGGTGGCGTTGAAAAATGGTGCCTGAGAAATGGCGACTGAAAATGGCGCCCAAAAAACTACACCTAAAAAATGGCATCCAAAAATGACACCCCAAAAATGGTGCCTAAAACTATACCCAAAAATGACACCTGAAAAATGGCGCCTGAAAATGACACCCAAAAAACCTACACCCAAAAAATAACACCCCCAAAAATGGCACCTAAAAAGCCTACAACTGAAAGTGACACCCAAAAAAAACTACACCCAAAAAATGACCCTGCAGCTCAACCAGACCGGTGAGAGGCCGCCCTGATCCCGTTCTTGGGGTTTGAGGTGGCCACCAGGCATGGTTTCGTTGCCCGCATGTCATGGTGGTGTTGAAAAATGGTGCCTGAGAAATGGCGCCTGAAAATGGCGCCCAAAAAACTACACCTAAAAAAAGACATCCAAAAATGACACTCCAAAAACGGTGCCTAAAAATGATACTCAAATAAAAACACACCCAAAAAATGACCCTGCAGCTCAACCACACCAGTGAGAGGCCACCATGATCCCCCACCAGGCATGATTTGGTTGCTCGCGTGTGATGGAGGCGTCTAAAAAGTGGCGCCTGGGAAATGGTGCCTGAAAATGACACCCAAAAAACTACACCCAAAAATGTCGCCCCAAAAATGGCATCTAAAAATTACATCCAAAAATGACACCTCAAAAATGACACCCAAAAAAACTATGCCCAAAATGTCGCCAGAAAAATTGTGCCCAAAAATGACACCCAAAAAAACGACGCCCAAAAATGGCACCCAACAAAAAATGACCCTGCAGCTCAACCAGACTGGTGAGAGGTCTCTCTGATCCTCTTCTTGGGGTTTGAGGTGGCCACCAGACAGGATTTGGTTGCTCGCGTGTGATGGAGGCGTCTAAAAAATGGCGCCTGGGAGATGGCACCTGAAAATGACACTCCAAAAATGGCACCCCAAAAATGGTGCCTAAAAATGACACCCAAAAAATGACCCTACAGCTCAACCAGACTGGTGAGAGGTCTCCCTGATCCTCTTCTTGGGGTTTGAGGTGGCCACCAGGCAGGATTTGGTTGCTCACGGGTGATGGTGGCATCTACAAATGGCGCCTGAGAAACGGCGCCTGAGAAATGGTGCCTAAAAATGACACTCAAAAAAACTACACCTAAAAATGACAACCCAAAAATGGCACCTGAAAATGACACGCCAAAAAAGACAACAAAATACTTTATATTATAATAAGGTATAATATATAATATATAATATATAATATATATTTCATCTATAGAATACATATTATATAATATATGTATATAATATACTGTATATAATATTCTATATGTATAATATATTATAAATATATATAATATATATATAAGGCATATATGACAATATTATATCACAATATAATTATAATTATATACATTATATAATTCTAAGACCTTCAATCCCTCCCCAGTTAATTTTTCCCTACATTTTAAGGCAGTTCCAGGGAGCTGCCAGGACCAGGCAAACCCTTGCGTGGGGACAGCCCTGAACGAGCAGGACAAAGCTGGCAATGCCACCACTCACACATGGTCACACAGCAGGGCCTGGGGACAGTGCCAGGGGTGGCCACTTGTGCCACCCTCCTCCTCCTCCTGCTGCCATCTGCCACCACCAGGGACACGTGGCGGGGAGGGGGCTGGAGGAAAGGGGACATCAGGTGGCGCTGGGGCTGTGCCCACACCTGTGGCACTGCAGATTGTCCCCTCTGGCATGGGGACAGGGATTTTGGAAGCCATTAGTGTGACAAAAGGGCACATCAGGAGTGTCGGGGCTCTGGCACTGCAGGCTGTCCCCTCTGGTATGGGGACAGGGATTTTGGAGGACAAGGGGATGGAGAAATGGGACATCAGGAGGCTCTGACATCGTGGATTGCTGTCCCCTCTGGCATGGGGACAGGGGAGTTTTGGAGGCCAAGGGAACATCAGGTGGTGTTGGGGCTGTCCCCACAAGGTGGCATTTTGCGTTGTCCCCTCTGGTATGGGGACAGGGACATGGTGATTTTGGAGGTCAAGGGGACATCAGGCAGCTTTGGGGTTGTGCCCACACCTGCAGGTTGCTGTCCCTTCTGGTATGGGGACAGGGGCACAGGGAGGGTGGAGAAAGGGACATCAGGAGCATTGGTGCTGTGGCATTGCAGGTTGTCCCCTCTGGTATGGGGACAAGGATTTTGGAGGACAAGGGGATGGAGAAAGGGGACATCAGGAGTAGTGGGGCTGTGGCATGGTGGCTTCCTCTCCCCTCTGGCATGGGGACAGGGGCACAGGGGGATTCTGGAGGCCAAGGGGACATCAGGAGCACTGGGGCTGTGGCACTGTGGGTTCCTGTCCCCTCTGGCACGGGGACTTTGGAGGCCAATGGACGGTGCCAGCTGTTGTGGGGTGAGTGGGGCAGGTCTCAGTTGCAGAGAGGACCCTCAGCCATCCAAAATTGGGACAGAGTGATGCTGTGGCAGATGGAATGGGGACACGGGGACACGGGGACATGGAGCCAGCCCCTGGCTCTCCTCTCCTGCCGCACCGGGCTGCGTCTGTGCAGGATCCCATGGGAATTCACCCAGGGAACGATGCACAACTCCCTGGAACGATGGAAACCAGGAAGGCAGGGAAGGGCTGGGGGCAGGAGCTGCAGCTGACCCCGTCTCCAATTGCAGAGGGCGGCCCCAAAAAGCTGCGCAGCACCATCCGCAGGAGCACCGAGACCGGCATCGCCGTGGAGATGAGGACCAGGGTGACCCGGCAGGGCAGCCGGGAGTCCACGGACGGCAGCACCAACAGCAACAGCTCCGACGGCACGTAAGGAACGGGGCGGGGATGGGGAGAGGGCGCCGGGAGCCCTCCCGGCACAGGGATGCTCCACTCCATGAAAATCCTTTGCAGGTTCATCTTCCCCACCACGCGGCTGGGAGCCGAGAGCCAGTTCAGCGATTTCCTCGACGGGCTGGGGCCGGGGCAGCTCGTGGGGCGGCAAACCCTGGCGACCCCCCCGATGGGTGAGCAGGGGAGGCTCCCGAGGGAGGGAACGGGGGAAGAGACCTCGTGTTTATTCCAAAAGGCCGCGTGTTTATTCCCAAGGCTCCATCCCAGCACATCCCGGGGTGTTTGGGATTGCTCTGCCCCATGGATGGGGTGTGATGGGGTTCACAGGGGTTTTCGGATTGGGGAAGAGATGAGGATCTGACTCCATGTTTCAGAAGGCTTGATTTATTATTTTATATATTATATATAAATATATAATATATATTTTATCTATATATGTGTATATATATATAAAATATATATTTTGATATATATTATATTAAAACTATACTAAAAGAATAGAAGAAAAGGTTTCATCAGAAGGCTGGCTAAGAATAGAAAAAGAAGGAATGATAACAAAGCTTGTCTTAGACAGAGAGTCCGAGCCAGCTGACTGTTATTGGCCATTAATTAGAAACAACCCCATGAGAACAATCACAGATGCACCGGTTGCATTCCACAGCAGCAGATAATCATTGTTTACATTTTGTTCCCGAGGCCTTTCAGCTTCTCAGGAGGAAAAAATCCTAAGGAAAGGATTTTTCATAAAAGTTGTCTGCGACACAGGGGAGCAGAGCTGAGGGCAGGGCACCCCTGAGAAGCAGCGGCTCTGCCTTTTCCCAAGGCTTCCTCATCCCTGGGCTTCCTTTTCGAGCATCCTGGAGCCAAACCCTCACCTTCTGTGCCTCTTTTCCGTTTGAAATCCCAAATGGGGATCAAAAGTTGCGCCCCAAGTGTGAATTCCCAGCCAGCAGCAGCAGCTGGGGACACATCCCAAGGTGGATCCTGATCCTGCTGGGCTGGAGATGCTGGGAATGGGAAGAGCTGCTTGGTGTCCCCTGTCCTGTCCCCCTGTCCCTGTGGTACTGGGAGCTGGGCCTGAATAAATCCCAGAAGGAGGGAAATTCAGGGAAGGGGAAAGGGGAAATGGAAATGGGAAAGGGGAAAGGGAAAAGGAAAGGGGAAAGGAGAAAGGGAAAAGGGGAACGGGAAAGGGGGAAAGGGGAAGGGGAAAGGGAAAAGGGGAAGGAAAAAGGGGAAGGGGAAAGGAGAAGGGGAAAGGGAAAGGGAAAGGGAAAGAGAAGGGGAAAAGGAAAGGGGAAAAGGGAAGGGGAAAGGGAAATAGAAGGGGAAAAGGAAAGGGGAAAAGGGAAGGGGAAAGGGAAAAGGGAAAAGGGAAAAGGGGAAAGGGGAAAGGCGTGGTTGGACCCCTGAGAGTTCCTGGCCCTTGATCCCTCCTGTCCCAACCTCTCCTTTTCGTGGGAATCACCCAGCCTGGGTAAATCCCAGCCCTATTCCCACCATGAGGGATAAAATCCCAGTGACAAGGATGGAACCAATGGGCTGGAGGAGCTCCCACCCAGATCTCTCCAAGCTCCTTCCCAGCCCCCAATTCCCAACAAACCAGGCATCCAGTGGGACTCTGGGTGTGAGGGTGCCCAGATCCCACTGGTGGTGGGGACACGGGGCTGTGGCCGTCCCCAGGAGGAGGTGACCATCAGGCAGGGCCCTGAAGGCGTGTCCCCCCTTGCAGGAGATGTCCACGTGGGCATGGCTGACCGCAACGGGCAGCTCGAGGTGGACGTGATCCAGGCCAGGGGGCTCATCCCAAAGATGGGCTCCAAGTGCATCCCTGGTAGGTGGCTGTGGAGGGACAGGGTGGGTGCCATGGTGGGATCACCCCAGGATCCTGCTCCACGTCCCTGCTTGTCCCTGTTTCCCACGGCAGCCACCTATGTGAAGGTTTACCTGCTGGAGAATGGCGTCTGCCTGGCCAAGAAGAAGACCAAGGTGGTGAAGAAAACCTGCGACCCCTCGTACCAGCAGCCCCTGCTCTTCGAGGAGAGTCCCCAGGGCAAAGTCCTGCAGGTGGGCAGGGGCACCTTCTCCTGTCCCAGGTGGCTCTGAGCCCCATCCAGCCTTTCCTGGGACACTGCCAGGGATGGGACAGCCACAGCTTCTGTGGGCTGGGATGTCCTCCTTGGAGATGGGATGTTCTCTTTGAGGTTTGGGTGCCCTCCTTGGGGTCTGGAATGCCTTGGGGCGTTGGGATGTTCTCCTCAAGGTCTGGGATGTTCTCCTTGAGGTCTGGGTGCCCTCCTTGGGGTCTGGAATGCCCTGCTTGGGGCTGGGATGTTCTCTACGGGAATGTTCTCCTCAAAGTCTGGAATGGTTTGCTTAGATTTGGGATGCTCTCCTTGGGGTTGGGATGTTCTCCTTGAGGTCCAGGACATTTTCCTGGAGGTCTGGGATGCCCTGCTTGGGGTTGGGATACTCTCCTTGGGGTTGGGACGGTTTTCTCAAGTTTGGGATGCTCTCCATGGGGTTGGGATGGCCTCTTTGGGATCTGCAAGGCCCTCCTTGAGGTCTGGGATGTTCTCCTCAAGGTCTGGGATGCCCTGCTTAGGGTTGGGATGCCCTGCTTGGGGTTGGGATGTTCTCCTTGAGGTCCAGGATGTTTTCCTGGAGGTCTGGAATGCCCTACTTGGGGTTGGGATGCTCTCCACAAGGCTGGGATGCTCTTGAGATTGGAATGGCTTCTTTGGGATCTGAAATGTTCTCCTTGAGGTCTGGGATGTTCTCGTCAAGGTCTGGGATGCCCTGCTTGCAGTTGGGATGCTCTCCTTGGGGTTGGGATGGTTTCTTCAAGTTTGGGATGTTCTCCTCGGGGTTGAGATGCTCTCCTCAAGTTTGGGATGGTCTCCTTGAGGTTGGGATGGGCTTTTTGGGATGTGGAATGCCCCGTACCAGCACCTCCCCACCTTCACAGGGTGAGAGGAGCAATTCCAGGGATCCCCAGAGCCCTTCCTGCCGCCCCTCAGACCTTCCCCAGCAGGGTTTTTCCACCTGGGCAGGATTTCCCCACAGCTCCCATCTCCATCACCCGTTCCCTGCCCGCAGGTGATCGTCTGGGGCGATTACGGGCGCATGGACCACAAGTGCTTCATGGGGATGGCCCAGATCATCCTGGAGGAGCTGGATCTCTCCAGCACCGTCTCGGGCTGGTACAAACTCTTCCCAACCTCCTCCCTGGCCGACTCCAGCATCGGACCCCTGACCCGGCGCCTCTCCCAGTCCTCCCTGGAGAGCTCCACCAGCCCCTCCTGCCCGTAGAGAGGCTGGGATGGGCCAGGAGACATCCAAGCAAACCTTGCAGAACTGGTCGTGGAGAGCTGTAAATATCCTTCTCTTTTTTTGTTGTTTTTTTTCCTTTTTTTTTTTTTTTAATTTTCAATCTCCTTCCCCCACCGGATGCCCTCCCTGGGAAGGGAGAGGGAGCAAGGACTGGGTGTGAGGCAGGGGGGAAGGAGAGGTGAAAATTCCTCCCTGAGGGCTGCGACTGCCAACAACCCCAAGACTGTTCCCAAACCTCATCCTGGGAGCTCCCAGCTCTCTCCCAACCCGGCTGGGAGCAGCCCAGAGCCTGGCTGAGGACGAGGTTCCTTTCTCCTGCCTCGGCGTTGAGATGGTTTCCTCAAGTTTGGGATGCTCTCCTCGAGGTTGGGATGGCCTCTTTGGGACCTGGAATGCTCTCCTTGAGGTTGGGATGGCCTCCTTGGGACCTGGAATGCTCTCCTCGAGGTCTGGGATGGCCTCTTTGGGATCTGGAATGCCCTCCTTGAGGTTGGGATGGCCTCTTTGGGACATGGAATGCCCTCCTTGAGGTTGGGATGGCCTCTTTGGGATCTGGAATGCCCTCCTTGAGGTCTCTTTTCCCTGCCTCCCAGGAAGAGGTGGCTTTCCAAGGGGAAAACCCCACCGGACTCAGAGCAGATCCAACTCAGCACTGTTTTTTTGTTTTCCCAGGAATGTAGCATCTTCTCTTATGTAGCTTTGCCACGTGCTAACAACACATTCACTGCAATACCCAAGAGAACTCCGGGTGGACCGGGAACATCTGCCAGTCTCATCCCGTTTGGTCGCTTTCCCAGCACTTTTGGTGGCCATTTCCCTGCCTTTTTTTAATGTTTTTTTTTCCCCCCAATTTTTTGGGTTTTTTGGGGTTTTCCCGGGAGCATGTAGCCTGTGACCATTGCCAAAGCAAGAGGGGACAGGGAAAGGGGCGCTGGCCTCCCCTCGGTGTCCACTGGGCTTCTCCTCGTGTGCGGCCAAAACCAGACCCAAAGGACAAACTCTGGGAATGCCTCGTGGGAGGAGGAGGGAGAAGGCGACACAACGGAGCAGGAGCACCAGGATCCTGGTGGATTGGCTGCCTCTCAGCTCCTTCCTTCCCAGCTGGAGGGCTGGGATGCTCTCCTCAAGGTCTAGAATGCTCTCCTTGGAGCTGGGATGTTCTTCTCGAGGTCTGGAACACTCTTCTTGGAGCTGAGTTATCCTCCTTGGAGCAGAGATGTTCTCCTTGAGGTCTAGAATGCTCTCCTTGGAGCTGGGATGTTCTCCTTGGAGCAGAGATGTTCTCTTCGAGGTCTGGAATGCTCTCCTTGGAGCTGACATCTTCTTGGAGCTGAGATGTTCTCCTTGAGGTCTGGAATGTTCTCCTCGGAGCTGAGATGTCCTCCTTGGAACTGAGATGTTCTCCATGGAGCTGGAATGCTCTCCTCAGATCTTGGATGTCCTCCTTGAGGTCTGGCTGTCCCTCCTTGGGGTCTGGGAAGTCCCTGCTGGGGTTGGGATGTTCCCCTCGAGGTCTGGAATGCTCTCCTCGAGCTTGGGATTCCTTCCCTGAGGGCTGGGATGACCTCCCCAAGATCTTGGATCCCCTCCTGGAGATGCCCTCCTTGGAGCTGGGATCTCCTCCTCCTCCAGACCAAGCTGTCCTCCTCAAGCTGTGGGATTCCCTTCCCAAACTCTGGGATTCCCTTCCTGGATTCTGGGATTCCCTTCCCAGCCTCCATCACGCTCCCCTTGAGGTCTGGGACATCCTTGGGCTTGGGACACCCTTCTGGAGATCTGGGATTCCCTCCTGGATGTTTGAATTCCAAGCAGGGGCAGAATCCAACCCTGGTTCTCCCCAGGGGGACACCTCAAGAGCAGCTCTGGGATTCGGGGGGCAGACAGAGGAGTTCCTTAGCGGGGTGAGCGGTTTTGGGGTTTTTTTTGTTCGTTTTGTTTGTTTTTCCCAAGCAGCATTTTGGTTCCCTCCGATGGGATCCAGTTCTTGTAGCAAACCCGGGAATTTACGGAAGCTTTTTTTGAAGGTGCCTATTGAAATTTGCTGAAATTACTCAGGGGAGACACCACTAGAAACTCTTGGTTTCTTCATCAAATATTTCCTAAATCCAATGACTGTCCTGAAGGATCAGTTCCCAAGAGAGAAGGAACAAAATCCCGACAACACCAAAAGATGAGGAGACTGGAAGAGGACAAGAGGTTCATGGGGAATTTCATGGGGCTGGCTCTGACCTTCAGTCTTCACCACAAAGCACCCCACAGCGCAGTGTGGGGGTTTTTATAGGATTATTTCTTGGCAAAACACGGAATTCCACGATGTACAGAGCACAACAAACCCACCCGGGCTTCTCCTGGTGGCGCCGGGAATGAAGAACCAGCTCAGCCACAGCAGAACAAACCCAAACCCGAAGGAAAAGACTCTTGGGATGAAGCTGTTCCCTCCACAAACCCAACCCCAAAACCCTGGGGTTCCATAAAAACCAAACCTGGGAGTCCTCAACTCCAAATCTGGGGCTCCATAAAAACCCAAACTTGGGAGTCTTCAACCCCAAGTCCGGGGTCCACAGATCCAAATCTGGGGGAGGAATCATAAATCCAGTCCCAGGGGTCCACAAACCCAAACCTGAGGGTTCACAAATCCAAACCTTGAGGTCCACGACCCCAATTCTGGGGTTGCATAACTCCAAATTTGGGGGCTCAAAACCCCAAACTTGGTGTTCCATAACCTCAAATCTGGGGTTCCACCAACCCAAACCTGGGGTTCCATAACCCCAAAGTTCCACAGTCCCAAATCTTGGGGTCCACAAGCCCAAACCAGGGGTTCCACCAACCCAAACCTGAGGTTCCATAACCCCAAAGTTCCACAACCCCAAACTTGGGGGTTCACAAATCCAGATCTGGGCAATCATAAATCCAAACCTGAGGGTTCACAAATCCAAACCTTGGGGTCCAGAAGTCCAAAACTGGGGTTCCACCAACCCAAATCTAGGGTTCCACCAACCCAAACCTGGGGTTCCATAACCCCAAAGTTCCACAACCCCAAATCTTGGGGTCCACAAATCCCCAAACTTGGGAGCCTACCAACCAGATCTGCAGGTCTACAAACCCCAACTTTGGGGTCTACAAATTCCAACTTTGGGGTCTCCAGACTCCAGCTTTGAGGTCTCCAAAGCCACACTTGGGGTTCCACAGCCCCAGAACCGTGGCCAGCAGGACTCTGTGCTGTGGCCAATCCACCTGGCACTGCCACAACTTTGGTGCCATCGTGACGGGGACTTGGAGCTGCTGCTGGGACTTTGCCATCTCCAAACCACCCAGATGGGAACTGGCTGGATCCTGGGATGGGGAAAAATTCATCCCTTCCCCTGTGAAGGATGAAGGATGAAATCAGAGGAGGGTGGGCTGCAATTCCTGGATGGAGATCTCTGGGAATATGGGATGTCCTGAATCTCTGGTGGTTTGGGGAACAAACTCAGTGCCCTGAGTGCTGAGACACGAACAAACAACAGCCTGGACTCGATGTTCCCTCCCGAGCACGGAGCAATTCCACGAGGCCAACACGGAATCACAGCAAACAGAATTCCAAGAGGCTCAACCTGCGCCAGATTTTCGACTCTCCACGAGGGAAAGCACCCCAAAAGGAAAAGCTTCCTGCTCCTCCGAGCTGCTGCTCTTCCCTCTGGCTTCACCAACTCGGTTCTGATGGGAAAACTCCATCTCTGAGCGGTGGGATGATCCCAGGCACGGAGCAGGAGCGTGGGCAGAGCAGGGAGCTGAGCAGGGACCTTGTGCTGCTGGCGTGGGCACAGCCTCCCACATTCCCTGCATTCCCTGCTCCGTCCTGGCTGCCAGGAACATCCCAGGAACATCCCACGGCCGCGCCTGACGGGAGCAGGGGCAGGGGAATCAGCAGTGCGGCCACCACGGCCAGCACGAGCTTGGTTTTGTGGTTTTCTTGGTTTCTTGGTTTCCTGCTGGAAAAATCCCGGTGAAATTCCACCTGGGAACGAGGAAAACACAAAGATTTTTGCGAGGATTTTTTGTGAGATTTTAGTGAAATTCCACCTGGGAACGAGGAAAACACAAAGATTTTTGCGAGGATTTTTGGTGAGATTTTAGTGAAATTCCACCTGGGAACGAGGAAAACACAAAGATTTTTGCGAGGATTTTTAGCGAGATTTTAGTGAAATTCCACCTAGGAACGAGGAAAAAACAAAGATTTTTGCGAGGATTTTTTGTGAGATTTTAGTGAAATTCCACCTGGGAATGAGGAAAACACAAAGATTTTGGTTCACAAGGATGAACTGGGGGAGCCACCAGGCACTCCCCAGGGTCAGCACAAGCATCTCTGGCTTTGGAAAAATCACAGCGAAATTCCACCTGGGAATGAGGAAAACCCAAAGATTTTTGTGAGGATGAGTTGAGGATGATCGCCACGCACTCCCTAGGGTCAGCACAAGCATCCCTGATTTTTGGTGGAAAAAATCCCAATGAAATTCCACCTGAGAATGAGGAAAACCCAAAGATTTTGGTTCACAAGGATGAATTGTGAGAGCCACCACACGCTCTTCAAGGCCAGCACAAGCATCGCTGTCTTTTTGCTGGAAAAATCCTGGTGAAAATCCACATGGGAATGAGGAAAATCCAAAGATTTTTGTGAGGATTTTTTGTGAGATTTTAGTGAAATTCCACCTGGGAATGAGGAAAACCCAAAGGTTTTGGCTCACAAGGATGGGTTGGGGGAGCCGCCATGCATTCCCCAGGGCCAGCACAAGCTTCCCTGGCTTTTTGCTGGAAAAATCCCAGTGAAATTCCACTTGGGAATGAGGAAACCCAAAGATTTCGTTTCATGAGGATGAGCTGGGGGAGCCACCATGTGCTCCCCACAACCATCCCTGGTTTTTCTGCTGGAAAAATCCCAGTGAAAATCCACATGAGAATGAGGAAAACCCAAAGATTTTTGTGAGGATTTTTTGTGAGATTTTAGTGAAATTCCACCCGGGAACGAGGAAACCCCAAAGATTTTGGCTTTTGTGAGTTGGGGGTGACAAGGACAAAGTGCAGCCCTCCATGGGAGAGGTGAACACCATGGAGTGACACCAAAATCCAGGAAAACATTCCCTCCTTCCCTCCCAGTGCCCCAGGAGCTGCCAGCAGGAATGACCCAACCTCAAACTGGTGTGGGAAACCCAAACTGGGGGAGAAACCAGGATTGTGCCACGTTTGGGGTTGCAACATCAACTTCTCATTTCTCAACCCCTCAGGAGCTCGTGTCAGATGTTTTCCTTCCTCAAACAAGGAGAAAAACAAAGCCAAGACACCCAAAAATCCCAAACTGAGCCCTGTGCCAGCTCCTGAGGAAGGGAATTCCATCCCAGGATAAATTCCTGCACTCCAAAGTCGGATTTTTTGTTGTTTTTCTAGGGAATGTTTTCTCACAAAGGGCATTTTTTTTTGATGTGCAATTCGATTTTGCAAAATTCCCTGGAAGGAATTTAGAGCTCGATGGTTTTCTCTATTTCCTATCGAGAAAAGGAATCCAAATCACTGGATTTGCCAGAGATTTTTTTTTTTTTTTCTAGAAAGAGGAATAAATATGGAATTACATCAGTTTTGCAGCACATTTCACACCCAGCCCCCAGCAGAGAGGAGCAGCCCCCACCTGACACTGCCAGCACTGAAATCCAAGCCCCCAGCTGGAATCACGAGGATGAATCCGATAAAAAAAAATAAAATTCTTGGGATGATGCTGGAACATCCTCTGAAAGCTGACAAAAATCACACAAAGCACAGAGAACACTCCAAAATTCCAGGCTTGAGTTATGCCTGGTTTGGAATGGACCAGATTTGCCAAAATCCAGGGAAAATTTACAAGAATTTGGGATGCAGCTGCTCTTCCATCACCACCAGGGCACGCTGAGAAACCTGGGAGAGGAGGTTTGGGTGGAGAATTCCCAAAATCCAATGGAATTCAGAGGCAAATCCCTGAATCTACTGCCACAGAGCACCAGAGAGGGGAGGAAAAAATCCCCAAAAATCCCCTCCACCTTTCCCAGCTCTGAATTCCACCCAGAGCAGGAATTCCTCAGGAATGGGATCAGGATTCCCTTGGGCTGACAGGGAATCTCTTCTGTTCACTGCCTGACACCACAATTTAGGAAATCCAGCCTGGATTCCACCATTCCCACCTGGATTTACAAATCCCAGGAAGGATTTTTTCCTCACAGAAAAAAACAGGTGGAAAATACTTTTTCCAGTTAAATCAGAGGTTTCTTTCTGGATGGATGGATGGGAAATGCCTGGATGTGGGAACCTCTGGATTGGTTTGGAAAATACCAGAATTAAGGAACTGAATCCAAACTGAATTTGTTTTCCCTCATGGATGGGAAGATCTCTCCCTGCTTTCCCTGGGGATTCCACGGCTGCAGATGGATCTGGAGAATTCTGGAGAATTCCCAGCAGGGTTTTCCAAGGGCAGCAAGGCCTTTCCCAATGTTCCAACTGGAAGTTTTCCCTCTGCTCCACAAACCCCAAGCTGGTTTGGGTGGGAAAGACAAAAATCCATCAAATTCCAGCCCCTCAGAGGCTGCTCCAAGCCCCATCCTGGGACACTTCCATGGACAGGCCAGGATTTGTCTTTTTCATGGAGAAACCCCCTCCCAATCCTTGGCTGGTTGGTTAAAGGAGTGAAAATCACTTTTAGGAGTTGAAAAGCTGCAGGAAAGACTTTTTAGGGAAATAAAAAAAAAAAAAAAAAAAAAAAAGCATCCGAAATAACAGGGTTGGAATTTTGGGGGTCACTCTGAGGGGACAATCCCGCTCACCTGAGGAAGATTTTGGGGTTAAAAAAGACACAGAAAAGTGTCCAAGTGTTGGTCTGGGTGGCTGAGGAACCTCCACGTGGTGGGACCCCCGAGCATCCCTCAGGAACACCGGGACGGACTCCAGGAGAATCCAGGAGAATCCAGGAGATCCCAGTGCTGCCCCAGGGCCTGGAGCTCCGCTTGTTGCTATACCTCATCCTTCCCTTTTCCTTGGATCCCTCCCTTTTCCTTGGATCCTTCCCTTTCCCCACTTTTTCCATTCCTTTAGGACCCAGAGCTTGTGCACTCGGCCACATCCAGGTTTTGTTTTTGGGTTTTTTTTGTTGTTTTTGTTTTTCCCTGTGGAATGAAAAGCAATCCATGATTGGGGTGGGCAGCTCCCAACCCTGCTCCCTTTGGGATTTGAGCCCGAGGGAAGGGAATCCTGGGGCGGGAGGGATGATCCAGAGGGATCCTGGGGTGGGAGGGATGATCCAGAGGGATCCCTGTGCCGCTTTTCCACCTTCCCTGTCTCCAGGGCTGCCCTGAGCACCCCAAAACCTTCCCAGGGGTGGGCGAGGGGCTCGAGTCCGAAATCCAGCGCTGCTCCCACCCTTGGGAGAGCACAAATGCCTTGGAGGGGCACAAATCCCTCTCCAAAGCCCTTGGAAAGGGTAGAAATCCTTTTCCAAAGCCCTTGGAAGGGCACAAAGCCCTTGGAGGGGCACAAATCCTTTTCCAAATCCCTTGGAAGGGCAGAAATCCCTTTCCAAATCCCTCTCCAAAGCCCCTGGGGGGGCACAATTCCCTCTCCAAAGCCCTTGGATGGGAACAAATTCTTTTCCAAAGCCCTTGGAGGGGCACAAATCCCTTTCCAAATCCCTGTCCAAAGACATTGGAGGGGCAGAAATTCTTTTCCAATGCCCTTGGAAGGGCACAAAGCCCTTGGAGGGGCAAAAATCCTTTTCCAAATGCCTTGGAAGGGGCACAATTCCCTTTCCAAAGCCCTTGGAGGGGCAGAAATCCTTTTCCAAATCCCTCTCCAAAGACATTGGAGGGGCACAAATCTTTTTCCAATGCCCTTGAGAGGGCACAAATCCCTTGGAAGGGCACAAATCCCTTTCCAATGCGCTTGGAGGGACACAAATCCCTCTCTAAATTCCTCTCCAAAGGCATTGGATGGGCACAAACTATTTTCCAAAGCCCTTGGAGGGGCAGAAATCCCTTTCCAAATCCCTTTCCAAAGCCCTTTGAAGGGCACAAATCCCTTTCCAAAGCCCTTGGAGGGGCACAAATCCCTCGGAAGGGCACAAATCCCACCCCAGGGAATATCCCAAAGGAATTCCCGACCCCAAGGGGGAGCCCCTGAATGTTCAGAGCACTTTGAAGTCGGTGGCCTTGTTTTCTTAAAGGGCTTTGATCTTTTCATGAAAGGAGAGAATCTTCCCCATCCCATCATCATCGTCACCATCATCATCCTCCTCCCCAGCTCGGAATTCAATCCTGGAATGTTCAGGATGATCCAGGACTCTGGAATCTGTCATTAATCCCTCAAGTTTTACACCTAAAAAGGGGAAAAGAAAGTTGGGAATTTCTCCTGGAATTCAGGTTGGCAGCAGCACCAGGGAAATAAAAAGGGGGAAAAACTCTGGTGGATTTTTAGGAGTGGGCAAAGGAAAGTTTGGGAGTGTTTATTCCATCCAAAAATTCTGGATTTCCATTCCAAATGGAAGGGATTTTATCCAGAATTAGAAATCTTTCAACCCAGATTCCTCCTAAAAAGTTTGTGGGGGAATAAAATTGTGGAATTTCAGACTGGTTTGGGTCCATTGAAAATAAAATAAAAGGGAAGAAAAGGGTGGGAATGATGAGGGATTAAAGGCAAGGGCAGCTCTGACAGAAATTCCAAACCCGTGGAATATTGCAGAAATTCCAAACCCTTGGAAGCTGAGGCTGAAAGGAGGGACGGGGGATGAGAATGCAAAACCCCACAAGGATTTGAAAATCCTTCACATTTCAGCCTCAAATCCCCCAAAATTTGCACGAAAGGAGAGGAGGGGGGAAACGTCAGAGCTTAATTAACCACGAGTTAATTAGCACTGATTGAGAAGGTGGAAGGGAGAGGCAGGGGAAGATTTTCCTTGGATATTTCGGGGTTTCTGGGAGCAGATTTTAGGATTTCTGGGAGCATCATTGAACAACTGACGCTCAGCTGGGTTTAATGACAGATTCCTCCCATTCCACAACTCCACCCTCCCCAAAAATCACCGGCCAGGGGGGACCTGGAGCATCCTTGGAGCCCCTCCAAGAGCAGGGGATGGGTTTGGGATGGCGACAGAAAAGTGGGAATATTTCAAAAAAAACGAGCAAATGGGATTTTCTACCTGTGTCCTGTCCTGTTTTCTATGTGTGTGTAGTCCTTTCTTAAATGTCAAACTCTTGTATTTTTGTGGTTTCTATCTGCGGGACTGACGGCTCTGAGGGCGCACGTTGTTTTGTAAAATATTCCTGATATTTTCCTCCCCCCCAAACAAAACAACAAAACAAAGGGAGGAAAAGCTGAATTATTCACCTTTTAATTGGCTTTGCATGTACAGTATTGGGGCAGCAAGTGGAGATGATTAAAGCCAGCTTGAAAACTTTTTGCTTGTGCTTGAGTTGAGTTTTTCCCCCCAAAAAATTTTAAAAAATTATCCCAAAACTCCTCATAGATACTCTGGGAAAGAGTGGAATGGAATAAATATATATATATATTTTTTTTTTTTTCATGATATAGCAGGTTTGAATTGAGGAAAGAAATCCCATAACGAATAAAAGACCCCAAAACCTCCCTGGTTCCCAAATCCCCTCCAGCTTCCCAAGAAAAATGGGGAGGGACAGGAAAAATGGGAATGGGGAGGGTTGGGAGGGATTTTGGGGTGAAATTCCTTCCTTTGAGGGTTGGGAGGGATTTTGGGGTGAAATTCCCAGGGAAGCTGTGGCTGCTCCACCAAAGGAAAAATCTGGGATGGGGAAAGGAGCAGGGGGTGAATGGAATGGGACCCAAACCCTCCTGCAATTCCACAATTCCCTGATTTTCCCTGTTCCTTCACATTTTTCGACGAGGTTTTGTTAAACCCGAGTTTAAAATGGTTGGAATGATGGAATTAAAGCTGGAATGGAATCACTTCATCCCAGCAGCTGCAGGAATTCTGCTCCACCTTCCCCCCCATCCCAAAGCTGAGGGGTTTGTATATAAAAGCGTCAACTTTGGATTCTTCCAGGCCTGGCTGTGCTCCCTCAGCTCCCTGGCATTTGGGACAGAGCCCAAAAGCAGAGGGAATCTGGGCTGAGTTTTGGGATGAAATCCCCTAAATCCCCACACCTGGAGTGACCACCAGCACCAGAGGAGTCCACTGCAATATTTTATTTGGGAATTTACATATCCACAGGAGAGAGCAGACCACAAGTCCGACTTCTTGCTGACTTTTGAAGCAGTTTTGGGTTCTACTGGAGATGAGAAAAGAAAAATCTGCCTAAGATTAAAATGTCCCAAGCGAGCCAGGAAAGGGAGGAACCAGGATTTTACACAGGAACGACGACAACGAGAACGAAACAAAACCAGAAAAAAAACAATATGAAAAAAGTATAAATTAGGATGTCAGAATCATTTTTAAAAGTGTAAGAAAACTTGCACAGGGGCTCTGGGCCCCCCCCGGAGAATTAACTCTGGTTAAGATCGTTAAAATGGTGAAATTCCATCGAATCTTAACAGCAGGCAGAAAATTCCCTCCGGAGTGCAAGTTTGTCACATTCCATCGGCTTTGCCCCCACTCTGGGCGAGATTCCTGCTTGCTCAGGGTGGGTGGGTGGGCGGCAGAGGGGCTTTTTCCCAAGGACTTTGGTTCCAAGGAGGGTGGGAGCAGGGAGAGCTCCCCTCGAGGGAGGAGGTAGCAAGGCTTGCTTGCCCCTGGGCTCGGCTTCAATCCAGTTCCTCAGCACCAAATCAGTTCCCCCACACCCCCCCCCCAAAAAAAAACCAAAAAAAACCCCCCAAAAAAATAAAATAAATCTAACACTGCAAGTTGAAGTGAGAAATCCCAGCTTTCTGGGCAGGATTCAGTCCACATTTCCCAGTCCCACCTGTGCCCAAGTGCCCAGCAGGGCATCAAGTGCTACCCAGGAGCTCTGGTGGAGCTTTGTGCAGGGAGGTTTCCCCTCCCCTGTGTGCATTGACTGTGCTGAGGACGGGGCTGAGCTCGTGGTGGCATTGCCACCCAGCTGTCCCCGTGGCTGTGACAGTGGAAAGGCAGAGATGGAGCTCAGGGATGGAAAAAAAACCCACAAAATATTCAGGTTGGGCTGGGTCCCCCCCCCAAAACCTGAAAGCAAAAAAACCCCTGAATGTCTCATGGAGCAGGTTTGGAGAACAGAACAAAGGCAGAAATGGTCACGTGCGAGCGAGGGCTCATTTCCACAGCGGGGAGCTCAGGGAGGGGTTGCTGCCCTGGGCTCCTCCTCCTCCTCCTCCTCCTCCTCCTCCCATGGACTGTCCATAGCCCATCATTCCGTTGGCTCCATAGAAGTTCATGCCAGCCATCTGCTGGGTCATCTGCAAATGGGACAGGAGAGAGGTCAGGGATGGGCCTGGACAGCGCCCACGGCTCCCAAAAACAGCAGAGCCCTAAGGGGAGCAGGGGGTGGCTCCCCAACATGGGGGGACTGCAGGATATCAGCAGGAATTTCCCCATGGAAAGGGTGAGCAGGCCTTGGAATTGCCCAGGGAATTCTGAAGTCCCCAGGTATGGGAGGATTTCAGGATCCTCAAGATATCAGCAGGAATTTCCCCATGGAAAGAGTGGTCAAGCCTTGGAATTGCTCAAGGAGGTTTGGAGTCCCCAGGTATGGGAGGATTTCAGGATCCTCAGGATAACAGCAGGAATTTCTCCACAGAAGGAGTGAGCAGGTCTTGGAATTGCCCAGGGAATTTTGGAGTCCCCAGGTATGGGAGGATTTCAGGGCAGGAATTTCCTCATGGAAAGGGTGGTCAGGCCTTGGAATTTTTCCAAGAAGGTTTGGAGTTTCCAGCTATGGGAGGACTTCAGGACAGGATGGACATCAGCAGGAATTTCTTCACGAAAAGGTGATGAGGCCTTGGAATTGCCCGGGGAATTTTGGAGTCCCCAGGTACAGGAGGATTTCAGGGCAGGAATTTCCCCATGGAAAGGGTGAGCAGGACCAGGAATTGCCCAGGGAGGTTTGGAGTCCCCAGGTATGGGAGGACTTCAGGGCAGGAATTTCTCCATGGAAAGGGTGGTCAGGCCTTGGAATTGCCCAGGGAATTGTGGAGTCCTCACCCCTGGAGGTGTCCATGGGAGATGAGGCTGGGATTGGACTCACCCTCTGGAATTCTTTCCCACCCTGACCCATCCTGGAATCCTCAGGCTCTCCCATTTCCCCATCCCCAACCCAACCCGATTCACCCGATCCCACCCCAACCTCAAACCCTTGGATACCCCCTCGTTCCTCCCCTTCCCAACTCCCAGAAAAACCCCTGGAAAACCCCTCCAGGAGCCTCCCCCTCACCTGGGCGAGGTTCCACTGCAGCTGCTGCGTCGGCTGCACCCCGTACACGGCCTGGGGCACCGCGGCCACCCCGGCCACGTACCCGGGCTGCTGCGTGCCCATCATCCCGTTGGGAACGCCCAGCACGTTGCCCACGTAGCCTGCGGGGATGGCCACGGGTGCCACCATGCCAGCAGCTCCAGGCTGGGCCAGCATGCCCACGGAGGGCGCCATCAAGCCCCCCATCATGCTGCTGGAAGCAGGCACCCCCGGGAAGGCGGCGTAGGGAGCGGCGGGATAGCCCAGCTGAGCCGGCGCCATGAACATGGCTCCTGGGAGAAGGGAGGGAGCGGGGAAAGATGGGTCAGTGCAGGGGATGGGACGGCACAATCCCAGCCACAGCCTGGTGGGGATGGCCAGGCTGAGCTGCTCCTTGTGCTGGTCACAGTTCTCAGTGAAGATGGAGAGGGAATTTGGGCAGCGGCGTGCAGGAATGGGTGCCCAGTGCCAGAGGGTTGGGTTGGATATTGGGAGGGAATTCCTCCCTCATTCCCAGAGCTAAAAGGCAGGTTTGGATTTTGGGGCAGAATTCTTCCCTGATTCCCAGTGCTAAAGGGCAGATTTCAGTTGGATATTGGGAGGGAATTCCTCCCTGATCCCAGTGCCAGAGGGTTGGGTTGGATATTGGGATGGAATTCCTCCTTGATTCCCAGTGCCAGAGAACAGGGTTGGGTTGGATATTGGGATGGAATTCCTCCCTCATTCCCAGTGCTAAAGGGCAGATTTGGGTTGGATACTGGGAAGGGATCCCCAGTGCCAGAGGGTTGGGTTGGATATTGGGAAGGGATTCCTCTCTGATTCCCAGTGCTAAAGTGTAGATTTGGGTTGAATATTGGAATTCCTCCCTGATCCCCAGTGCCAGAGAGTTGGTTTGGATATTGGGATGGAATTCCTCCTTGATTCCCAGTGCCAGAGAACAGGGTTGGATATTGGGATGGAATTCCTCCCTAATTTCCCATGCTAAAGGGCTGGTTTGGGTTGGATATTGGGAAGGGGTTCCTCCCTGATTCTCCATGTTAAGGGGCAGGGTTGGATATTGGGATGGAATTCCTCCCCGTGAGAGACTACAATGGATTTCCCAGAGAAGCTGTGGTTGCCCCATCCCTGGAAATGCCCAAGGCCAGGTTGGAGCACCCTGAGATCGTGGAAAGTGCATGGCTGGAACGGGATGAGCTCCACGTTCCCTTCCCACCCACCCCATTCCGGATTCTCAGGGATCACCCACATTCCCATTTCTCCTGGAGTTTGTCACCCCCAGGACACCCCAGCAGCCTCCCCTGGTCCCAGCTCACGCCAGGGTTACCTTGTGCTGGCACCTGGGACGTCTGGGAGCCGTACAGGGACAGGATGGAGTCTTTGGAGAGCTGCTTCTTCCCCACCTCCTCCCCTTTGCCTCCGGGCTCCGGGAACAGATTCAGATTTTCGGGAACGGAGCCGGCGCTTCCAGAGGTTGGCATGGAACCAACAACCTGGGACAGACAGACAGACAGACAGGATCATGGCTAGACCCAGCATGGGGGAAAGGGGAATATCCATCCACACACAAGATCATGGGGTCACGGAAGAGGGACATTCTTCAAGGTGGAAGAGGGAGATTTCAGGATTTAATGAAGGGAAATTTAGATGAAGCAAGGTTTAGGGGAATGGAAGAGGGAGATGTGGGAATGGAAGAAGGAGATTCCTCATTTTTCCAAGTGGAAGAGGGAGATTTCAGGATTAAATGAAGAAATTTAGATGAAGCAAGGTTTAGGGCAGACAGTTGTGAGTGGTGAAACAGTGGCACAGCATTCCCCAATGCAGGAATGGAAGAGGGAGACTTCAGGATTTAATTAAGAGAAATTAGATGAAGCAAGGTTTAGAGGAATGGAAGAGGGAGATTCCTCATTTTTCAACACTGAAGAGGGAGATTTCAAGATTTAATTAAGGGAAATTAAGATGAAGGAACATTTAGGGCAGATGGTTGACGTGTGTTTGATGGTAAAACAGCGGCACAGCATTCCCAGATGTGGGAATGGAAGAGGGAGATTCTTCATTCTTCAGTGTGGAAGAGGGAGATTTCAGGATTTAACGAAGGGAAATTTAGATGAAGCAAGGTTTAGGGGAATGGAAGAGGGAGATGTGGGAATGGAAGAGGGAGATTTTTCATTCTTCAACATGGAGGAGGGAGATTTCAGGATTTAATTAAGGGACATTTAGATGAAGGAACATTCAGGACAGTTGATGTGTGTGGTGAAAACAGTGGCACAGCTGTGGGAATGGAAGAGGGAGACTCCTCATTCTTCAGCATGGAAGAGGGAGACCAGGATTTAATTAAGGGACATTTAGATGAAGGAACATTCAGGGCAAACAGCTGATGTGTGTGGTTAAGCACTGCATTCCCAGATGGATTCCCCATCCCTGCAAGGCCAGCTTGGAGCACCCTGGCACAGCGCAAGACGTCCCTGCCCTTTAATGTCCCTTCCGTGCCAAATGGCCCCGTGGTTCTACGACCCAACCAGGCTTTTCCAATCCCCAGCACTCCCAGCTCACCTTCCTGGAGGAGTCTGAGCTGGATCCCACGGATGCAAAGAGGTCCAGGTCCTTCTCCAGGCTGCTGGGCCGGCCGTTGGTGACGGGCGTTGTCACCGGGGCGTCTGCGGGGACAGAGATGTCCTGGGGGTGTCCCCAGCCTGGGGACACCTCTGTGCCATCCTACCCACACCTGATCCCAACCTCCCTCATCCCTCTGGAGCTGGGGAGGGCCTGGAGCAGGATTTGGAAGTTCCCCTGGGTTCTGTTTGTCCCATAAAGCTCCAGGTGCTCCTGGACACCACAGGCTCCAGGAGAAAGAGAAACACGTGGAAAACTCTTCCCAAGATGAATATTCCTGCAGGATTCCTGGAACTGTTCACCTGAAGGGAAAATTAGGCCTGAAACCCCTCAAATTCCCACAAAACCCCACAATTCCCATAAAGCTCCAGCTGCTCCTGACACCACAGGCTCCAGGAAAGAGGGAAACACATGGAAAACTCTTCCCAGGCTGAATATTCCTGCAGGGTTCCTGGAATTGTTTATCTGACAGGGAAAATCAGCACTGGAACTCCTCAAATTCCTGTAATTTCTACAATTATGTAGAAATTGTGGGAATTTGAGGAGCTCCAGCTGCTCCTGGAAAACCACAGGCTCCAGGAAAAAGGGAAACACGTGGAAAACTCTTCCCAAGCTGAATATTCCTGGAATTGTTCACCTGACAGGGAAAATTAGGACTGAATCTCCTCAAATTCCCACAATTTCCAGACCAATTTCTCTTACCCAGGCCCAGCAAGTCCATGACTGGCTCAGATTTGGGGGAACTTTTCCTGGATTGCTGCGTTTCGTCTTTCTTTTGAGGCTGGGGGAAAAGAAACAACACAAACCTCGTGCAGCTTTTGGGATCACTCTGAAATGGTTTTACAAGATTTATAATGGTTTTTAACAAATTAACCCTTAAAATCCCCTTTTTTCCCCAGTGGATTTAAGTCAAAAATAAATTAAAATTCTCTTTGCTCTCCCAAAATGAGAATTTCAGAGCGAATAATTCCCGGTTTTTTGTTGTCCCAATTGTCAAATCCAAGCAGGCTCTAAACCAGGGAGAAGCAGCTGCTGGAGGTGGAAAAAGCAGCAGGGAAGAGCTGGATTCCAACCTGCACATCTGCTCAGTGTCTGGGGAGCAGAGCAAAACAAACTCCCACCAGTGACTCAAAGCACCCAGGCTGTGACTGAGGCCAGAAAAATGCTCCCAGGGGAGGCTGGAATCCCTCTGCTCTGCCTCAGGGGTGTCTCCGTGGTTTTTCTTCCTGATCTTACCATTTTCACCTTCTCAAAGATGATGGGTTCCAGTTTTCTTTCCGACTCGTTGGTCCTTTTCCATTTGTCGTCCTTTTCTTTCTGTGAGGGAAAAAACCACAGACATGAGGGAAAAATTTCCTGATTTCACCAAGAAAAATCTCAAATCTGGTGCTGTTACTTATCTAAAACCCCTCAGATGCAAAATCCCTCAGAAAAAGCTGAATTTGAGGTAAAATTTTGCATTTTTCCTGCTCTGAGCAAGGATTGGACAAGGCCCTTCCAAGATCTCCTCCAATGATTATTCTGGATTTATTTCCTCCCTCTTCTATCCACACAAACCAAACAGCTCCAAGAGGGAAAAAAATCAAGAATTTAAAAAGTTTTGTTGTCCTTTTATTTCTGTGAGGGAAATAATCACAGACATGAGGGAAAAAATTCATGATTTCCCCAAGAAAAAGCTCAAACCTGGTGCTGTTACTTATCTAAAACCCCTCAGATGCAAAATCCCTCAGAAAAAGCTGAATTTGAGGTGAATTTTTGCATTTTTCCTGCTGTGAGGAAGGAATTGGATAAAATCCTTTCCAAGGCCTCCTCCAATGTGAGGCATCCATCCACACAAACCAATCAGTGAGATGAAGAAGAGGGAAGAAAACAGGAATTTAAACCACCCAAAAACTCCAACCCCCTGAGCTCTGCCATGTCTGCGATCCTGCTTTTTTCCCTGGAATACTCCCTGAATATTCCAGAATATTCCCTACAACAAAACCCACTCAGCACCTTCAAATCTCCTCAGCAATTCACTCCATGAAGTTCAAGCAGCTCTGGAGAAGGGATTTCTCCTGGCACAGGAGAATATTTCAATATTTATATTTCAATATTTTGTTTTAATCACAATTTTAGGCCTCCAGACTCACCCTGAAGGCGTTGATGTCAATGCTTCTGTCCATGTATTTCTTTTTCTCATATTTATCCCGGATAAAACTCTCCACAGCTCTACAGGAGCTGGTTAAGGACAAAGGATTCCAGAATAGAAGCCTTATTTGACAGGGAGGAACAAGGTACAGGCTGTAACTAAATTAAATCATTGTTTAAAGAGCATTTCCAGCAGTAACTTTCTTAAAATAATTTATTGCTGGATCCCAACTCAGTTTTTGCCCCTGGGTTATTTCAGGTTATTTCAGTGCTATAAAAAGGGAATTAAATCAGGATTTAAGCTCTTGTTGTGTTTTCTCCACTGGTTCTTTTGTTTGTCCCAAGCATCCCCTCAGCACATTCAGATCACAGTGGTCACAACAGGATCCTGCACCTCAAAAAACACCTCAGGTACCAAATTAACTCAAAAAAATGATGGTGGAAAGGTGTTTTTGTGGGATTTTTTTTAGGTTCACATCATTCTATCCCTGCTTACTCAGCATTCCTGCAAGGTGGGAGTTACAGCTGAAGCATTAAAAATTCCATCAGAGAATTCCCAGCCTGGTTTGGATTGGGACCTTAAATCCCATGGGCAGGGGCACCTTACACTATCCCAAGCTCCATCCAGCCTGGGGAACACTTGCAGGGATAGGGCAGCCACAATTTTTTTTGGGAAATCCATTCCAGCCTCTTCTCACCCTCACAGGGAGGAATTCCTTCCCAAAATCCCACCTCTACCAAAAACCACCTCCTCTATCCTTTGCAAATCATCTCTCTTGCAGCTCCTTCAGGTCCTGGAAGGTCACAATTAGGTCTCCATGGAGCCTTTGGAATATTCACTCTCATTCCCTCCAAAACCTGCAGCTTTTGGGCTCACTCTGAAATGTCAGAGATCCGAACGAGATAAATCCCACTGGAAAAAAGGGATTTTAAGGGTTATTTTCCATCCCAGTGCATATTTTTTCCCCATTTAAGCCAAAAATAAAAGCAAAATTCTCTTTGCTCTTCCAAACTGAGAATTTCAGAGTGAATATTTCCCAGTTTTTAATATTAATCCAAGCAGGCTCTAAACTAAGGAGAAGCCTCCTGTGGTCACTTGGTGTCCCAGTTCTTCACCCCAATCCCTTCATTCCCATTTCCTCCCCAAGGGAACAACTTCTCCTTCAGGAAGGTTTAACCACACAGCTCCAGGATGGAAATTTCCATGGAATTTCCACGTTTTTTCAGGAATTAAAAAAGGATGCTGGTCTGTCTGGGGCCTCCGGAAGTTCTCGGGCAGGTAGGCTTCGTAGAGACGATTGGCTTTGCCATTCCCCATCTCCTGCACGCACTGAAATCCAAAAAAAACCTCCTTCAAATTCTCCTTTCCCAAACCTTAAAGCTCTCCCACAGCACCCCAGGCTGCCAGGGAAGAGAAATCTGGGGGAGATCCTCCTCAAAGCCACTTTTCACCCCCCAGGGGATGCTGAGGCAGCTGCTCCAATCCCCTCCCACCCCATTTGCCAATTCTAAGCAATTTTTAATCCGAGGCAGGATAAATATCCTGTTAGCAACCCAAAATCCCTCTGGAAGGAGAGGTGGGAAGCAAGAATTGGTAATTTAACAGAGATTTGCAGCTCCTTAAGCTTTACTCTCTGCTGTTTGTCCAGCTTGGAATGAGGAAATTTTATTGCTCTTTTCCCTCCCAACCTACCCCAGCTGGAATTCTTCTTCCTCCTCCACTTTCCCAATTTTTTTTGAGCTATTCTGGCTTGGTTTATTTTAAAAAACCCTCAGTGTTTTATCCCAGCCCTCACCTGGATCTGTTCCTGTGTCCACTGGTCGAGGTTGACAGATTTGACCCTGGATATGTGAACTCCCAGGTTCCTGTGGATCCCAGCACAGCGGATGCAGATGAACACCCCAATATTCCAGGATGCCCATCGTGGCCCTGGGAAAAGACAAGAAAGTGTTTCTCACCAATCCAACCCTTCTTTATTTTTGTTTTTGCCTGGAGGAACTGGAAAATGCACCAAGTGAACTGGGATTGAAGCCTTTGGATTCTCATCCAGGCTGGAAACTGGAATTTCACATCAGGAGGATGTTCCCAGTCCTTATCCTTGGGGATTTATTGCCTCCCTCTTCCACATAAATCAAACAGCTCCAAGAGGGAAAAAAATCAAGAATTTACAGTTCTGTTGACCTTCTTTTTCTGTGAGGGAAAAATCACTGACATGAGGGGAAAATTTCCTGATTTCTCCAAGAAAAATCTCACACCTGGTGCTGTTACCGATCTAAAACCCCTCAGATCCAAAATCCCTCAGAAAAAGCTGAATTTGAGGTAAATTTTTGCATTTTTCTTGCTCTGAGCAAGCAACTGGACAAGGCCCTTCTAAGATCTCCTCCAGTCATTATCCCTGATTTATTTCCTCCCTCTTCCATCTACACAAACCAAACAGTTCCAAGAGGAAGAGGAAAGAAATCAGAAATTTAAACAATTTTGTTGTCCTTTACTTTCTGTGAGGGGAAAAAAACCACAGACATGAGGGAAAAAGTTCCTGATTTCCCCAAGAAAAAGCTCAAACCTGGTGCTGTTACTGATCTAAAACCCCTCAGATATGAAATCCCTCAGAAAAAGCTCAACTGAGGTAAATTTTGCATTTTTCCTGCTCTGAGGAAGGAATTGGATAAAATCCTTCCAAGATCTCCACCAATCATTATCCCTGATTTATTGCCTCTCTCTTCCATCTACACAAACCAAACAGCTCCAAGAGGGAAAAAATCAAGAATTTAAACAGTTTTGTCCTTTTCTTTATGTGAGGGAAAAAATAATCACTGACATGAGGGAAAAAATTCCTGATTTCACCAATAAAAGATCACACCTTGATCTAAAACCCCTCAGATGTAAAATCCCTCAGAAAAAGCTGAATTTGAGGTAAATTTTTGCGTTTTTCCTGCTCTGAGGAAGGAATTGGATAAAATCCTTCTAAGATCTTCAATCATTATCCCTGATTTATTGCCTCCCTCTTCCATCCACACAAGAAGAGGGAAGAAAAGAGGAATTTAAACCACCTAAAAAACTCCAACCCCCTGAGCTCTGCCATGTCTGTGATCCTGCTTTTTTTCCTGAATAACTCAGCTCCAGAATATTTTGAGCAGCAAAAAAACCCAAAAAACCAAAAAATAAACCACTCAGCATCTTCAAATCTCCTCAGTGCTGGGCAGGAATTCCCAGCTGAGCCAGGACCAAGCACTGAGCCCAGGATTTGGCCCCAAAACCAATCCCAGCCCAAGGAATGATCAGTTCACTCCAGTTTCCACAGATCTGATGGACATTATTTGCTTTTCCTGGGTCAAAATAAAATAAAATCAAGGCATTGATTAAGGTCAGACATTCCTGGTTTTCATGCAGGACAGCTCCAAGGTGTGGATGGGAGATCATGCTAGGGATAAAAAACATCCAGAAGGGAAAAGATTAAGGAGCTCAGATGCACCCAGGAATCCCAGGAGGGCATACAGAGATCCACAGGCATTCCCATCCCTCTCCCAGACCCTCAATCCTGAATATTTTAGGAATATTTTAAAATTAAACCCTTTTCTCCCAGCACAAACTGGTGTCCCAGTGCATGAGAAACTGGGAAAACACAGAATCAGCGATCAAACATCCTCCACCAGCTCTTTTTTCCACACATTCTTCTGGATGATGAAGAGTTATCCTGCTTTTCTTGCCACAGCTAAAATAGCAGAGCCTCGAGTTAATGAGAGGGAGGTGGGAGGGGGAGGAGGGGGAAAGTGTAATTTCAGAGCCCTAAAAAAGCAGTGCTGTATTGGAGATGCTGTTAACAGTTTAATTCCTGTTCTTGAGGAAATCCTGAGGGATTTGGAGCTGATAATGCACTCAGAGACCCTTCCAGAGCACAGGTATCCAACCTCCAACAGGTAACTCCAGCACTTCTTCCAGGGAATTCACTTAAAAATGCCTTTATTAAATTTTCTGGCCTTTCCTGCCATTATTTGCTGCTTTTTCCCTCTCCAGGAGTGGCCTTTGGGAATGATATCAATTTAATGGAGCTGAGAAATTCACTTTTTGCCTACACCTCAGTCCCTTTATTACCTCCTTTATTATCAAAGCAAAACCCACAACTTCAGCACCACCTGAGCAAGCCCAAAAAATGGGAATAAAACCCTTAACCAGGATCATTCTTGTGATTTCTGCATGGAATTCTCTACCAGGGCTCTCTAACGTGAGACTGCTGGCAGGATTATCATGAGATTCAAGGTTAGATTTAAAACTCCAGATAAATTTAGCCTTGATAGGACTAAAAGGATTAATGGGCAGCTCCTGGAGTAATCAGCTCACTGGGTTTGTCACATGGACCAGCTCAGGCCACCACAACCTCCCACTAAAACATGACTCAGGGTTAATGTCACGTCCTCCTGCTGCTCCAGTGTCCCCTCAGGGGTCTGGGACAACAGGGGAACCACATCTGGAATGTGCTGCAACTCCTAAATCCAAATTCTGGGAGAGCTGAGATGGAGCAGCTTGGTTATATTTAAATTAAAATGAATATTTAGGGAGTTTTTGAACCCCTCCCAGCAATAAACTCATTACACAACCAGGGGTGAGCTGTTCCCTGGGGAGATTCCAGCTGGGATTTGGGTGTCCTTGCACAGCCAGAAGGTGCTGCAGGAAAGGTTTCAAACCTAAAGGGAATAGAGGATCTGGGAGATGTGGGGTTGGTTTTCACAGACTGGGAGGAAATCTGAATTTTCCCAAAAATCTCCCTAATCCTGCAGCCGCAGCAAACCCTGCTGGGGTCAGGTTGGATCCAATATCCCCTTACCAGACACCCAGCTTAACCAAACCAACATTTTAACCTTCAAATGCCTTCTAAAAAATATTCTTTTAAAATGTCTCCTAAAGCCCTGAGGTTGTGGGAGGGGGGAAGGGTTTGGTGCAGATGTAAACAACCTCCCACTTCCCTCTTTGGAGCAGCTCACACTGGAACATCTCCCACTAAAAAAAAATCTCCCTGCAAGTGCCCAGCGAGTCAGATTTTGCTTTTTAGGGCTTTTTGCAGGCATTTCCCCAGGGTTTCACAGCTCTTTTCAAGGTAACTAGACTGGAAAAAGCTCCAGGTGGCATCTCCAGATGTGACTTTCACTTCCTCAAAACCCAAGCCCAGCTCAGACTCTGCAGCAGCTTCAGTGATAAAGGGGGAAAAATGCCTGGGTTGGAGCTTAGGGGATCATTTTTCTGAGAAAAATGGGTTTATATCAATAAATAACAACAGGGCAGCTTTAATCAGCACTGCAGAGCTGCCTGGGGGAATTATCACCCCTCACAAAAAGTGGGCACACCCTGACACTCACCAGGACAGGGGCACCTCACCCTCCTGGCACAGGGAATTATGGATTTATTTATCTCCAGAGGGTTGAGGACAAGGCAACAGAAACATTCAGCTCCTTAAACCACTAAAAAAATTTGTTTCTTGCATGAATCCTCGGGTTGATCTAGAATCAGTTCTCCTGAGGCTGAGGGCCCTCAGAGTCACCAGGCCAAGATGGAAACCCCATTCCCACATGGAAAATTGGGAGTTTGCTCCAGTGCCAGCTTTGCCTGGTGCTGCCACCACTTCTGTCTCAGCTTTATGATGATTTTATGTCTGATTTTATGCTGCCAGCGGTGATTTTAATACCAATAGAAAGCAAAATCACCTGGCAGCAACCAATCCTACTCTGCTCAAGCTCGTGGAGCTTCACCTCAGACCTCAACCTCCTGGCTCAGGGAATTATGGATTTATTTATCTCCCAGAAGGCTGAGGACAAGGCAACAGAAACATTCAGCTCCTTAAACCACTAAAAAAATTTGTTTCTTGCATGAATCCTTGGGTTGGTGTGCTAAAATCAATTCCCCTGAGGCTGAGGGCCCTCAGAGCCACCAGGCCAAAATGGAAACCCCATTCCCACATGGAAAATTGGGAGTTTGCTCCAGTGCCAGCCTTGCCTCCACTTTTGTCTCAGCTTCATGATGATTTTATGTCTGATTTTATGATGCCAGGGGTGATTTTAATATCCATGGAAAGCAAAGTCACCTGGCAGCAACCCTGCTCTGAAGAAGTTCGTGGACTTCACCTCAGACTTCACCCTCCTGGCTCAGGGAATTATGGATTTATTTATCTCCCAGAAGGCTGAGGACAAGGCAACAAAAACATTCAGCTTCTTAAACCACTAAAAAAATTTGTTTCTTGCATGAATCCTCGGGTTGGTGTGCTAAAATCAATTCCCCTGAGGCTGAGGGCCCTCAGAGCCACCAGGCCAAAATGGAAACCCCATTCCCACATGGAAAATTGGGAGTTTGCTGCAGTGCCAGCCTTGCCACTTTTGACTCAGCTTTATGATGATTTTATGTCTGATTTTATGATGCTAGGGGTGATTTTAACATCCATGGAAAGCAAAATCACCTGGCACCAACCCTGCTCTGCTCAAAGTTTGTGGAGCTTCACCTCAGGCCTGCACAAATCCCTCCTGGATTGAAGGAAACATCAATTTGGAGTGAGAAACCCAACATTTTTCAGAGCCTGGCCTGGCAGGAGGATCACAAACCCCCAAGCATCCCTTGCTGAGTGAATTTTCATTCCCAATTTTCCTGAACATTCCCAAGGGAGGAGGATCCAGCAGGGATTCAGTGCCCAGCTCCAGGAGACAATTCCAGAGCCTGTTTCACATCCCAGCCTGTCAAAACAAACTCCACATACCAAGCTGCTCGTGCCAGCTCCAGTCCCCATCTAATGCTGCTCATTAATGCTCCAAGGGCTGCTGAATAATCTGAATGACTGAAAAGGATCCTAATTCCCTTTAAAACCCCCAGCCTAATTCCCTTTTCAACTCCCAGCCTGAGAAGCCTGCTCCAAATGAGTCTTTTGCTCCAAGTTCACACCCTGGAGTGGT